GACGTCAGCATACCGCTTCAGTCACGAGTCGTTTCAGACACGCGAACAATCGCGACCCTATAGTATGACGAATAGGTCGCATAGTGCGCAACTAGCCGAACAGGTACTTTCCCTAGAGCTATAAGTCCTTGTAATGCCTTTCTATTATCAACCTTGACTTTCCACAGAATCATGTGCTCAGGTTATTCAACCTTCGACTACCCACAAGTTCATGTGCTCAGGTTCACTCTTATAAGACTTCCGCTGTCTTACTAGTCTACCATTCCAAAATTACGATCCTTACAAGTACTACCGAGTAGTAGAGATACTACTGTACCCAAGGCTTGACTCAAGCATATCCTATACTTAGTCTCCTACAAGTCGAGCACCACTTTGTCAAATTCTTACATAACAAACATACCCGAAAAACACGGCAAAAACGTCGCTCCCTATTCGACGGGAAATAATTCCGTCTACGACCAGGGAAGGGGAGGACCGGCCAATCCCAACAGGATCTGACGGCATCGGCAACGCCCGCGCAATTAATTTCCGCGTCGTCCGCTCGCCATCAGAATCCTTCCGCCCCCTTCCCCGAGAGGGTCTGCTCCCCTACCGGAAGCCTAATGGGCAGGAACGTAGCTCTGATACCAACTTTTATGAATTATAACTCAAAGTATAGCGCCGAATACTATAAGGGAACGTGATTCCAGAATGATCGTGAATAATGAGTCCTAGGGCTTATATAGTGCGAGGGTTGGAACAGTCAAGGGCTCGTTCGTCCGAGGGTGATGGGGTCAAAACGGGTTCGGGGCGACTCGGGGCCAGGTTGGGGCCGAAAAGGTCGTCGGGGGCTGGTTTGGCGCGATATCCCACGGCCGAGCCTGCGGACCCGCACTGTTCGCGGTACTCGTTGTGACGAGCCCCAGTAAGGAATAGTAATTCCTTACATGTTGCGTTTCAATTCGTTAGAATAGCAACCTAGAATGGTTGGGTAAGGGTATTTTGCAAAAACGAATTATGGCTGTGTTCTACAGGCATTTGACGTTGACGTCGACGTCTACATTAAGGAAGCTCCTCAAGCGACTTCAAGAGCACTGGTTACCACCCAAACCAGGTGCACTTTCCCAACCTCGCTTGGAAGCCACGCGACCAAATTGTGGAAAGCGCAAGCGAAAGGAGAGAGGAGATAATTTCAAAATTGCGCAAAAAAAAAACTTATGCCGCAGGGCAGGAGAGAAATTATCCGGGGCAAAATGACGAAAAAGGGTTAAGCTGAGATATGACTCGTTGGCGATGGATTTGTTCAGCTGCTGTTTTTTTGCAGGGCAGGCCCAAGCTTGCGAGGGGGGTTAAAGTGGTGGCGGTTGTATTTTTGGAGTGTGGAGGCCTAGTACTCCCTTGCGGTTGATGTGACGCCACACGCAAGGTGGACTTCGCGATTAAGCGAACGTCAGCATTGCGTCAAGTTTGCGTCAAATTTGCCAGGGAGGGAAGCGACGGGGGTGTTTCCCTGACGTAGATGTCATCCGCAGATGGACCTGTTCTGTAGGCATGTCGACGTAACTAGGTTCGGGTACGTTGTGCCAGGTCTGGACGAAAATTTGCGGGCTGACCATCGATCCGAAACAAAAAATCTCGCTTTCGGAAGGTGCTCTGATGTAATCTGCACTTTCCTTTTTTGCCTGCAGAACGCAGCCTACACCTTGAGCCTGACAGAGGAACACAACTTTTCAGGGTGCCGGTAGACAAAAACGCGCACGGGTTTCGCACGGCATCGTCACGGGCATGTGGGCCTTTCGCACGGGCACGAAGGTTACCATTTTGATGTTTTGCGGGGTAGGTTTGAGTGGCATATTTTGGCGAGCCATTGTTCACTTAGTGACCCTATGTTAAGTTTCGGCGCTTTCAAGCGAGAGTGAGTTTCTCTGGTGTAGCACCAGAGTGGTGGTTGGCGGGTGAGATGTTGAGTTATTTTTTCTGGTTTGGTTTGCTCCCTTTTATACTCAGAGCGATGGGGTGAGGTGTTGGAGTCGCATTTCAGCTCCAAATATTATGGGCGTGTTCTAATTATTTCTTACATTACGAACTGAAGGTTCGTGTCGCAACAATAACTACTGCGTGGATTGTGGGAATTTGTTTTCGAGTCTGTTCCTGGGTTGGCTGTCGGATGTTGAGAACGACCCCTGGCATCGGGACATCGTGACTCCATTTCGCTGCCAAGTCAGCGTTCGGTTTCATGCGGCGACGCTCAAGCCACAAACAAACCCAGCGAGGCGTGTGTAATTTTGCGAGCTCAACGAAAGGCTCGCTGACCTTCGCCGGAGCGCTATTCTGAGCGCGGCTGGAAGTTTGTGGCGAAAACGGTTGCGGCGCACATTTTTCGTCTTGTGCCGCATGTTTGTCACCGCTGTCATGATGACGCTGCACTGCTGGCTCTGTTCACGGCCCACGTTGAGTGGGCCGTTGCCCGTGTGACAACGCTAATGGACGATGGTTCCTGATTGGGCCACGTATTGAGCTAGGCCTCCGGCGGGCACCACGTGTATTTGGACCCGCCCTAGCGCGCGCCCTGAGGGAGTGTGGACGGGGATTTCCTCGAGGGAGCCAGCGTGTCTCAGTTTGAAAGCCCAATTCCTGCACTCGGGCCAAAAGGTTTGCAAACGAAACCCCGGACATAACCCACCTGAAATCGTCACCACCTTTCCCCAATCTTCTCAATCCCTTCCCGTCCTACCCCCAACCGCCCCTTTTTTTCCTCTCTCCCTTCCCCCTCTCGTCCCCTCCTCCCCCAATCCCTCCATGCTGTCTGTCCCTCGAAGGAAAGCACCCTTTTAGCGCGGTGGTCTACGATTTGACGTCTTCCAGAGATTCTTGCTTCGGTCCTGTAACGTCACAAATTTCAGCCCTACCTTCAGTTTCCCAACCTCCCCCTCGTGTGGCTCTGCCAGTTTTTTCCCTTGTGTGTAAGTTTTTACCGGGGGGAGGAAGGATCGGTGAATGAATCTGAACTAGGTCTGTCGTTTGTGTGACAAAGTCTAGTGATCTGTCGTTTCTTGAGTCCGGCCACACGACGTGGGCTGGCTAGAGGCGGCATCGAGCCAGGAATCATCTGCAGGCCTCTCGCTAAGCCCCAGGGTATTCCGGAAGGGGACGGAATCGCCTCAGGATCACCCGTTAACGGACGGAATTCCCCAAAAAAACCCGTTACCGAGAGGAATCGGCCGCTAGCAAGTGATCAGAGGCAGGGTTTTGGGGGGGCGGGTGGGGGGTGGTGTTTGGTGGGTGGTCTCTACCCTACAGATTGCCCTCCCACAAGTATAACCCGTACGGATTCGAAAAAAAAAAGGGGCACTCGTTAGGCTAGGGAATCGCTCGAAATTGTTTCCGTAAGTTGGACGGATTTGGGAAAAAAATCGCACTGTAAAAATGCGGAATCACTTGAAAAGTTACTCTTAATTTCTTGTGAGGAACATTACCCTATTAGCAAGTGGCCTGACATCTGGAGGCACCACACCCTTTTTTAGATTCAACCCGAAACGACGTGATAGGTCGGCTCGATTCCGGCTGCGTTGGCTCGGTGCTTATGTCCCACGCGCAAGTGGAAACATGTGCGGCCCAGAGTGCTACAGCGGATATGCCAGACATTTTTGTCCAGAAAATATCCTAAAGTCCATAATTCGGTAGGATCCAGCACGCTACACTCCGATCATAAGGAGTACAGCTACTGTAGTGCGTACGGGCCAATGAAATTTCTGACGAGGCTCCTTGCGATTTGAGAGTGGCTGGACGAAAGTCGCAGATTATATTCGCGAAATCAAATACCGCCATCTATGCCACAGTCGCAATAAATTGGGGTCGCAATCCAGATGGCGACCCAACGTCCAATAAAATATCGCCAGTTGGAAAGGAAGCAAACTGTACGCATGCACGTGTACTGTGCAAACATGTTTACCCATTCTGTCTTACGATTACGGTCCTCTTCTAATCCTCGTGTCAGGAGCATTCGAAGCGTTTTCCATTTTTTAAAACCAATCACGTAGATATTCAGGCTTCCCGTGTGACACGAACAAGTCCGTCCCGAATACGAAAACACGACCCTCGTCCCTCAATCACCAATAACAACTGCACATGATTTTCTCTCAAGAGTAACTTAAGAGTAACTTTTCAAGGAGTTTTCCGATTTATCTGTTTTGCGCGTTTTTAGCCTGCGCTGCTTGTGGGAGGGTCGTGTTTCTGACTAGACGACAAATTCGCTGAGCGTTTTTTAAGAGGCCACATGGTCCCTCACATGACACACATGGCCCAAGTGGCTAATACGCCAAGGCACCCATCGTGAACAAAACGAGTAAAACGGCCTACGCCACCCCACCTAAAATCCCTCGCGGTACACACATCTTCCTCTATTGTGTTATCCGGAACAGTCCAAATCCCCACCTACCAGGCTCTCAGCATGATTCGCGTTGACACTGAACCTGATTGGCTGCTGATGAACGATAGCGAACTACCAAGTTGTATTTCGACAGTTGCGATTTTCAGAGCCGAGACGTCGCGCAGGCAACTAATCTAGTGCGTGAGCGAGATTTTGTAACCAAGTGTCATTTCTTACTATGGGATCTCCCCTTCGAAGTCCCTTTTGCCCTTGGTTTACAATTTCCTTCTTACAGGCTCAATCCGCGTGCAAAAAATGTGGAACTAAATAGGAGAACAGGTGTACTCTATTATCCAGTTTGCCCGTTGCGTACCGCTCCTATTCGTCGGAGTCGCGTTTGAAGCATAGAGCATACCCGCTGTACAGTACAGTACTAGCCGGGAAGATCAGCCTCGCATTACAGTAGCCACACACGATGCGAAGCGTCATCCGGGACGTTCTCTGTCGGTACCATGCGTGTACTGTACTCGATGGGGATGAGGCAAAGAGTCACCGTGGAGACTCCACAGTGACTGTGAGATGCGACATCCTCGCACCTGCTTTGACCTGCTTATTATGAAAAGCCCTCCATCATAGTAGTAGCATTATTCACGCTCGCACTATCAGTATCAGTGGAGTGCGTTGGACGTGCCACTCCAAGCGCCACCTCCACCTTCCACGCGTTTCACAGGCGATCGCCTTTCGCGCCGCCCTTCCGACTCGGAGGGCGTCACTCCCGTTCCCCCCTCGCCCTGCTCGCGCACGCCTGCTCGCCTCGATCAGGCACACCGTTGCTCCCACATCCGCTACTTCGGAATGGCTTTGATCGCGCCGCTCCCCGTGCTACTATCCCCGCGCGGGTCTTCCCCGCCTACGCCGTTTGCGCATGGCCGGAGGGACGCGGAGCTGCGGGAGGGGCGAGACGACGATCCGACGCCCCTCGCCTCACCGGCTGCAGCGGCGCCACCGGGGATAACGGGGGGGGGAGCGGGGGGTACCGCAGTGGGCGCTGCTGCTGCGGGGGGGACTAGGGCGCTTCCCTTCTGCCTCGCGATAGCTTCCGTTTTCTTTGTGATTGTGGTTCTCGGCCTTATCACGGTCGCAGCACGCTACTACGCGTGCACGTACCTTCGTCGGCGCGCTGCGAGGAATGCGTCGTCGGGGGATGCGCGAGCTGCTGGCGCCGACGCGCAAGCACCCGCGGGGCTCGACGCGGAGAGAGTCGCGGCGTTCCCCGTGTGGTCGTACTGCCTCTTCCCCGCCGCTGCGAGGGATTTTCCCGCCGGGGAGCCGCGTGTGGGAAGTGGCGAGAAGGACGCGCCCCGAGTCAACCCTGCGGCAGTCACGGCAAGCGAGACCGCTCTCGTCGCTGACGGTGCTACTTTGCTGGGAACATCGGAACGCCAAATTACAGAGTTCTTACAGGAGGGGAGGCCGTTAACGAGCACGGAGTGTACAGTGTGTCTAAGTGACTTTTGCGAGGGCGAGCTGATTCGCAGCGTGCTGCCGTGCGAGCATCGGTTCCACGTGGCGTGCATCGACCTCTGGCTCGCCACCCACACCACGTGCCCCGTGTGCCGTGCCGACCTCAAATCGTCGGCGCCACGTATGGCTGTAGACGACTCGGATGTGAGAGAGGTGGATGGAGGGGACGACGCCGTTTGACGCCTTCGCTCAACCCTTTCCAAACCCATCGACACCTTTTTTGAATCGGCACCCATCGGATTGTGGCACAGCCAAGGACAAAGCCACAAGCTATTTCGTTCATTTTTTTCCCTTCTCCATTGATCAGCCGCGCGCTGGCGTCACAAAATTTCGGGCCCAGAAAAGTATCCCTGAAGTAACATGTGACAATGCTCGACGTGTGCCCTCCGAGGGATAGTTGTGAGATCCCCGTGCATACCTAGAGCATACTTGCACGTTCATGCGCACACTGTACAACCACTGTTCCACGCCTCCATTGCGCGGACGCTTTTAAGAGTATAAGCATGCGTAAAACGTTACGGACAAAACGACGACTCACAAGGTAAGATAAAAAAAAACTAAAACAGTACAAATGTCTATACCAAAATGTGATCGAATGGCCACCTTCTCTAGTGTAACAAAAGAACAAATATTGGCAGAAATGCGCATTATGCTTCCTGCCGACGTCCTTCCCGTATTCTGCTAACTTATGTTGCAAGTGTATCAGTTTTGGGGAAATTACAAAATGATCACAGTACAGCGTGTACAGAGCACAAGAAGCAACGATGCTGCCTGGGGACGGTAGGCATTCCCCCCGTTTAGGGTACCCCGCTGCTAGCTATCCTATTCAGAATGGCAAGGTCAGTTGACCGAGCCGCGACCAATATAGATTGCGCAACATCTCTAGACGCGAATCCGAAGGGGAAAGTAACCCGTCATGGATTGCTGTGCTATGGCGATATGATACTCGGCCCATAGACCGAGACAATAGCATCGTACGCTGCGTACGGTCTTTCTTCCAGGCGCAACGTTAGCAACGGTGTCCTCGTACGCTGCCATGCCGCGACGTCCACTACAGGGCGCGAGTTCGGTCGCACGAAACCCGCAGTGCTCTGTCCCGTACCCCACTGTAGGAATCTGGTTGGGGCGGAGAAAGTGAGAACGCAGAGATAGGAATAAGGAGTTTACGGGTGCAGAACAGCCATGGTACGAATGGATATACAAAGAGTAAAACAGGGACAAGACGAAAAGATTATGATCGTGCGATTAGATGATAATGTTGATGATGATGATCATGGGGCGGCTATAAGTTACACACGAACCTTGGGGTATGGGGTCTCCGGCGCAATTCAAGCCAGCCCTGCGAAGCAGATACGTGGACTGCAACTGCTGCCCCAGCACTGAACCAACCCCTATTAACGCTTATCTCGGCTTGCACACGACGCCTATATACAGGTACATCCATCCTATGATTATCGCTCACTTCCCCAACCAAATACCCCTGTCACTTCCGCCCATCCGCACCAATTTCCCTGCTCCATATGCATTTCCTACACAACTCGTGGTGCCCATACAGCACCCACGCAGACGAGCCATGTCACTGCTCCACCGCTCCTTTTCCATCTGCGACCATGTGTCAATGCTATGCCACCAATCCCGCTCGTTGTTTATGGCTTGGTATTCTTCTCCCCCTCTCCCCCCCCCAATGCACGAGAACCGTCATTCTGGCTGACGATCTTGCCCTCCCACCGCCTCCACATCCCCTGCCCCACTGCTTCCACATCCCCTGCCCCACTGCTTCCACATCCCCTGCCCCACTGCTTCCACATCCCCTGCCCCACTGCTTCCACATCCCCTGCCCCACTGCTTCCACATCCCCTGCCCCACTGCTTTCACATCCCCTGCCTCGTTTTCCACATCCCCTGCCCCACTGCTTTCACATCCCCTGCCCCAATGCTTCCACATCCCCTGCCCCACTGCTTCCACATCCCCTGCCCCACTGCTTCCACATCCCCTGCCCCACTGCTTTCACATCCCCTGCCCCCCTGCTTCCACATCCCCTACCCCCCTGCTTCCACATCCCCTGCCCCACTGCTTCCACATCCCCTGCCCCGTTGCTTCCACATCCCCTGCCCCACTGCTTTCACATCCCCTGCCCCCCTGCTTCCACATCCCCTACCCCGCTGCTTCCACATCCCCTGCCCCACTGCTTCCACATCCCCTGCCCCACTGCTTCCACATGCCCTGCCCCACTGCTTCCACATCCCCTGCCCCACTGCTTTCACATTCCCTGCCCCACTGCTTCCACATGCCCTGCCCCACTCCTTCCACATCCCCTGCCCCACTGCTTCCACATCCCCTACCCCGCTGCTTCCACATCCCCTGCCCGACTGCTTCCACATCCCCTGCCCCACTGCTTCCACATGCCCTGCCCCACTGCTTCCACATCCCCTGCCCCACTGCTTTCACATCCCCTGCCTCGTTTTCCACATCCCCTGCCCCACTGCTTCCACATCCCCTGCCCCACTGCTTCCATATCCCCTGCCCCACTGCTTTCACATTCCCTGCCCCACTGCTTCCACATCCCCTGCCCCACTGCTTCCACATCCCCTGCCCCACTGCTTTCACATCCCCTGCCTCGTTTTCCACATCCCCTGCCCCACTGCTTTCACATCCCCTGCCCCAATGCTTCCACATCCCCTGCCCCACTGCTTCCACATCCCCTGCCCCACTGCTTCCACATCCCCTGCCCCACTGCTTTCACATCCCCTGCCCCGTTGCTTCCACATCCCCTGCCCCACTGCTTTCACATCCCCTGCCCCCCTGCTTCCACATCCCCTACCCCGCTGCTTCCACATCCCCTGCCCCACTGCTTCCACATCCCCTGCCCCACTGCTTCCACATGCCCTGCCCCACTGCTTCCACATCCCCTGCCCCACTGCTTTCACATTCCCTGCCCCACTGCTTCCACATGCCCTGCCCCACTCCTTCCACATCCCCTGCCCCACTGCTTCCACATCCCCTACCCCGCTGCTTCCACATCCCCTGCCCGACTGCTTCCACATCCCCTGCCCCACTGCTTCCACATGCCCTGCCCCACTGCTTCCACATCCCCTGCCCCACTGCTTTCACATTCCCTGCCCCACTGCTTCCACATGCCCTGCCCCACTGCTTCCACATCCCCTGCCCCACTGCTTCCACATCCCCTACCCCGCTGCTTTGATAGCCCCCTCTCCCTGCTCCTACTCCCCCACCTTCCTCCTCACCCGCTATCCCCCAATCCCGCCTCCCTGCCTTCTCCTATGCTTCCAAAACCCTCCCACCCCACCGCCCCTCCCCAATGCTCACTTCACGACTCGGGGATGAGGTCGTCGAATTCGCTGCAGGTGAAGAGGACCCTCGGCACAGATGAGAATGCCCAGGCAGCGTGCTCCTTCTTGTACCACGGCCCATTGGCTTTGCTGCGGTGTGCGATGGCATGACGCATCCATGCCAAAACGTTCTTGTGATACTCATCTGTCGCGTCCTCGTTTTGTGGGGCGCTCTTTTTTAGGCTAACTGCCCCAACGTTTTTCATCCTGTGCTCCACCTGTGAGACATTTAGACCAAAGTTTAGAAACTTATCATGTATGCGTAAAAACAGAGAAAAACACACAGAAGACTTACTCCAAAGAGCCAATACGCAACATGATACGGCTTGAGAATCAGAGGGCCAGCCCTCTTCCAATTGAATGAAGCTGAGATGCCCATTTCAAAAGGGGATGTGGAGAATGGCACTCGAGCCTCGCTCGCATGCCATTTTAGCAGGTTGAAGGTGTCAGCCTCTGCCAGGAAGAAACAGGGAAGAGCAGCAACACAGTATATGGGGTGCAACTGCATGGTCTACACACGAAATGGATGGACTGAAAAATATGACCAAGTGTGCTCACCAGCCACGTTTCTGTTAAGAAACTCGGACAGCGACGTTGGTGCACCGCGAACAGGAGGCACCCTCACACGTGCATCCTTGGGAATGGTGTACGGCAATCCGTGCATAAGATACACTGTTGTGCGGCCCTGCTCATGAATCTTGCACCTCAAAACCTGTAGCTGCCGAGTGAACCAGAGGCGGCGCAAACGGTCGTTGTTCCACACCATGTGGACTTTGATTTTCAGCTCAGGATCCTGGAATGAGAGGGCCTTCAGCATTGCTGCCTCAACTGGTGGATCCCCAGGCCACATAGTCATATCCTCGTCCGGTGTGTTGTACAGTATGATGCTGATGGTATCCTTGCATAAGGTCTGCAATGGGGAAAGTATGGGAATAAATTGGACCATACGGAAGTTCCTGTTGTATGGATTAACCATACCGCTGAAAAGCACGGGCCATCCTGATCACTAGCCGCTCTCAAAATGTTGGCTGCTATCTATTGTCAATCTTATGCGCCGAGCTCTGAAGCGGTTGGGCACGGCATGTATGTTAGAGGCGGCTCCAAGTCAAGGGGAAAAAAGCATAGCCAGGGGCACAGCAAAGGTGCGACATGTGGGCAAGGGGGGATACATATGGTTCATAGCAGTTGCAGGGGACTGTTGTGATAAACAGCCTACTGCAACAGCTTCAGTTTAGGGTGGAGCTGCTGTACGTGCACCCAGCCATCTACCTACTTCTCCACAATGGCACTGGCGGTGCCGTCTGGAGTCGGGGAGGCAAGAGAGGAGCTAGCAGGAATTGGAAGGTTTGATCCAGGCTGAGCAAGAAGGGGGGAGGCAGGTGGGGGCTGGGTTGGAATGGTGTAGGCAAGAACTGCACATGCAATTGTGGGGACAGGCAGCAGCGGTTAAGTTAGATGTGGGGTCAGAAAGACTTGGTTCTGGAAAGAGTGGAGCTGCCGGGAGAGGGATGAGTACGAGCCACTGCCACGGCCACAATAGCATATGAAGGGCCAATACGAGCGGGATGAGAACAGGGGGAAAATTAATGCCAGTTGTGCGTGGCAGCGGGTATGGTGCATGACAAGCATTCAGCCGCCAGAGCATTTTAGGTTTGGGTGCACGGCAGGTTCATGAAGAGCATGTAAAGGAGTGCAACAACAACAGCATTTTCTGCAGCTGTGTGGTACAGCGTGGAGCAGGCAGAAAAAAAATAAGGTACAACACACCTTAAATCCAGTGTACACATCCGGAATGATTTGCAGAGCATCTTCCATCCTAGCCGGCCAACTGGACTGCGTTCGGTTGATGTCCCACAACCAGTGTGCGCCACCACGGCGGTGCATCTCACGATCCACAGCTCGCGCAACTGCAGCTGGCATTGGATGGTGGCCTGGGTATGAAGTTAGGTTTGGGAGGGTGTCAAGACCATCTGCCCGAGGTTGAGCGTCATTGGACTTTGGTTTGTGCTGCCTCCATGCCCCATGGTGCCGACGGCGATGTGGCTCTGCAACACCGCGCCCGACGTTTCCAGCCAATTTCGTCAGTTGCCTTTTTAGCGCCACACTCTCCTGCCACAGTTGTTTGACGCCCGTGACCTGAGTGACAGGCGTATGGCCATCGAGCCTGGCACGGGCCTTTGGGCGTGCATGGGTCTGCCCTCCCCGTTTCCGAGACTGGGCGTGACGCCTCTCCCGTGCTGCCATGGCTGCTGCAGCAGCGCTATTCATGTCTCCAGTGAAATGCGTATGGATTGGAGTGCCCGAGGGAGCAGTGCACGTGGTCATCTCGGCCAGCAGGCGTTCTTTCCTGGGTGGTGTCCCCCCTGGAAAGGATATGGGCAGCAACGGGAGGGACATCATGGTAAAACCGGCCGGAAAAGAAGGCACCGCACCACGTATCGGGCCTGAAGGAAGAGAGGTGGGAAAGATGGCGCTATGAAAAATGGAACCAGGGCCCACCATGATAATATGGATGCGTCACATTGACTCTATCAATCCCCTGCAGCAACCCATGCCATCTCCCCCCCAACCCCACCCCCCCCCCCTTTCACCAATTCCCCCTTAGCCCCCCCTTTTCGCCCCCTCTCCCATCTCCCCCCACACTCCCCACCTTCCCTCTCCCCTTACCCTCTTATGCTCTGCCTCGGGTACCCTGTCTCCCCCTCACTGTCTGCCCCATTCCCTTTGCCCCCATTCCCTCCCCCCCTCTCACACGCAGCACAACCTCCTACCTGTCCACTAGGTATCACAGTGTCATACCTGCCCACCCAAGTTGCATGCCTCCATTGCCCACCTTTATCCAGGTAGTTAACAATCAAGGGACCTCTCCTTCCCCTCCCCCCTCCTCCCCCCTGCCCCCTCTTTGGAACCCTTTCCCACCACTCCATACCCAACTTACTTACCAGCCGAAACCGCATCGGGGTCACCCGCCAACGAGTCCATGTCGTCATCGGGTGCCATACCATCCTCTTCTTGCTCACTAGCCCAAGACATGTACCCCGATTCGTCTCGCTGCATGCTCTCTGATGACGCTGTTGCTGTAGCTCGCTCGGTGTGAAAACGATCCCCGCGGGAAGATGACTCATAAACCTCGTATTCCTCAAACCGTGAGGATTGTCGGGCTCCTTTTTGCGACGTCCGGCGTGACGTAGACATGATGCGAAACAAAGAAGCAAGTATAGGGCTCAGGTGGGTAGGATAGCGAGTTGATGTTGATTGCACTAAGAGTCCTAAGGATCAGCCAGCACAAGATGACATGAGTGGTGCGTGCGGTAGAGTGATAGCTACTAAATCCAAGAAAGACACAAAGAGTGCTTGAGGGGTCAACATGGAAACTGTGTTATTCAAGAATTACAAGAGAAGAGCCTTTATGTTTGAAAGAGCGATGCCAAGAAGTGAAGCTAAGTTTGGGCTCATAGGGTGGGCAAGATTGCACTGTGGTTCAAGAAAGCAAGCCCCACAATGCTGGAAAGTAGCCACCTTGCTGGCAAATGTGTTGAGGGACTAAAATTATGTGAATGCCACTGTTCACGAGCACATGATGCCTTGTGAGGTACAACTGCCAGGTTGCCATGTGCACCCATGTGCTAGACATGGCACTCTCGGACTGTATTGGGTCTGAAGCCAATCTTTGGTTTCTGCCCAGGGTATTGTGTGAAGGTATTGATGGTATATTAAAACTTGAAGAATTAATACAATTCTAGGCAATCCTAATGCAAGGTTCGCAAAAGAGCAATCCTAACCATCACACATGTGTCATGGGTATGAAAGCATTGCTTTATTTGAAGGCTAATACCAACGGCGCATTGGGGTGGTCTTTCTGAAGCCTAGAGGTTGACTTTTCAAAGGGGGGGTGAACTCGTCATCTAACGAGTAGTTGTCAAATCCCTTCGTTCTAAAGGTTTGCTTAATAAGACATGGGAACTTTGGAGGGGCGGCGATGGAATACGCAGCGTTAGATTTCCCTGGAACCGGCTGTAGGGTTGTTGCAGTCGGCGTTGCCTCCCAAGGAGCAAGTAGGCCCAATGCATGGGCTAGTGTACCGTATGGGATACCGTAACCATCCGGCCCCACAACCCCTTCTCTGAGACATGAAATAACACCGCATTAGCAGGACTGCACTTTCGAGTTGGCAATCGATGTGTGGGACAACACTCTCTAGGACGTACAAGTATGTGCTTGGACGAGGAGCACTACGAGTCCTCCTATGTTCTTGGGCATCCAGAAGATATACCACGTCGTCCGCTCCGTTGCGATCATAGATACCGCCTTCAACCTTGGACGTAACCCACGAACGTGTGAGATATGGTGCAGAAATTCAGTGCAAGCCAACCAGAGAGAAGCAAACTTACCACAAGACCTTCTGCGTGGGCAAAGAGCTTGAGAAAGTCGCGGTAGCCGTCATCCATGGGTGTGGGCTTTACGAGATCATTCCAGGACGACGTAGTGAAGTTGACATGCCGATAGTCTTTTATGGTCTCCATGAAGCGCTCAGCATCGGCCATATCGCTTCCCGCTTGCTCGTTCGCGTACAAGGCGTTGATTATTTGCAGGTCAATGAAATCCAGGTGGCGTTTTCTCCTTGCATTGCCCATATAGCATGCACATTTGGCTGATATTCTCCCCACATCAGACACACTAAATGGCGCTAGTGATTCCAGTAGAAGCTTTGGCGTGGGTTCCACATGGCGAGAAATGCAGCTCACGTACTCGCGCTGCATCAATAGAGCAGTTATTGTTCTATGCCTGCAGGCAAACGTCTGCAGGAGTATCGTCCCACTGCCACGAGAGGTAGTCTCGTAGTCATGCTTACGCTTTCCCAAAGCAGCCATAGCAACACTGTTTCTTTTGGTCTATGCGTGTCTTGTGCTGAAAGTGAATTCCACAATCCTGCTTTCCATCTATAAATGTTCGCATTGAAATAGGTGCCCGAGGCGCTGGATGCTCTAGCTCAGATTTTGAAAGAGATGCTCCAGGCCCACGATGAGTGCACAGTGCCTCTTCTGGTTTTGAGACGAAACATGTGCACGAAATGCTATGCTGTAACACGGATTCACAGGCTGCATGTGATGGCTACGTTGGGAAGTGTGAAATTTTGGTGTAACCACGAGCACATGACAGGGCGGGTGGTGTTACCTTCGTCACACCGTGTCCGAATGGTTGGTCGGCGAAAAAAAGGAGCATGCGACCACCAGAAATGACACACTCCACATCAGGGGTGTTTGGGCTGGGCAGATGTCGTGCCCATAATTTTGTAGTGTAGCGTGTGTGTTACAAAAACAGGTTTGGTACAGCAGACAGAGTCGGTGACATTGGGTTCGTGTCTTGGGCAGGTCAGGTTTTTGCTAGGGTAGCCAAGAAGTGGTCACATGCGTGTTTGTGCACGTGTATGGAGCAATTGGCTGATCTGGGAACGTGCCACGGATTCAGGCCTTAGACCGTGCGCTGGTGTATTATAGGTTTCACCTCTGACTGGTTCTCGAAGGTTCGATTAGTAGGTGTTGCAGACTGTTGGCAAAGTCACCCTCGGCGCTGCCCTTATGTTCTTGACGCAACGGTAGGCTCTCTAGATGAAGCATGCAGTCGAGTAGCTGCTAGGTTTGCAAGGTAGGTTGAGGATCCAGCACGATAACTTCCCTTTTCGAAATGTCCCTGTAATCGACACGTAAGTGGGTGTTTACCCACGTTTGTATCCCAAAGACATTCGTATAATCCCTGGTTCTCCCAAGACGGAATCCAATGTACACGCCAGTGGACAGCGTGGAGTTACGTATATTTGCCATTTCTTAGATAGATGCTAAAAAAACACACTACGGTTCCAGTAGATGCGAATTTAGCTAGGTTCTTGCATTCCACCATGGAGGTGTCGCGGATCTGGCTGCTGATTCTATCTACTGTGGTCTTACTCGGTCTCCATACGACAAGCGTATGCCACCGTGGTTCTTTAACTCTCTCTAGCCCGCAGTCCTGTGAAACGCCACTCGTAACCATGAAACAACGCAAAGTAATGTGCGAATGGTGTGGCTGTTCGTTTCGTGGATCTGGGCCTCTAAGGACACACACGTCCACAGATGCGGATTGCAGGCTAGCTAAGGAACGCAGCTACAATGCTGGTATTTTCTATGGGCCGTATGCTACTTTTGTAGGCCCCTCCTGCACTGAGCGTTCTCGCCACTCCTGGGCACCAGTCGACCACAGCAACGGATGCCCTCCCGTCGAGCCACCTAGCCGGCAAGCAGGCAAACAGGCTCCACCTCCATGCATGGTAGTGAGTCGGGCCATTCTAGTGACAGCGATAGCGGGGGGAGTAGTTGCGAGCGCGGGTACAACCGGCCCATGTCTTTTGACACGGCTCTGGAGTTTTATCTCCTCATCATGGCGTGTAACAGAGGCAGCGGTCTTTCTGCACCCGACACCGCTTGTCTCCTCAAGTTTCTGCATGCCCAGGGTCTAGATTTGTCCAAAATCACCGATTGGCACTCAAAATCGGCGGCCCTCAAGTATGGTCGCGGTCTCGGGCTCGGTGGGAGAACATACATGGTCCGGGAGGTGCACATCGAAGGCTGGCCTCGGCCCTTTTATGTTAGGTTCACCAGTCCAATTCAGGTATGGAGCATCACTTGTGCATGTCCGGGGACACAACCCTCCTGCATTTACGCCACGGCAATCCCACAGCATATATCTGCAAATCTTGAGCACACGCTCCTCCATTGTTGGCGGCCTACTGTTATGCAGGCCTTGCGTGGCCTTTTCGGGGATCAGAGCAACTCTTCCGGGTTTCAGCTATGGGCCACTCCTAAAAAAGATGCCAATGGCAATCTCCTCTTCACAACACCCAGCACTGCAAGCTTTTGGATGCAAGCTCAGGTGTGCATATTGTTGTTTCCCCGCCAACTTGACTCAATTGTCCTTTTAATGCATTGTCTTTCTACTGTCACTTTCCGTGTGCCTAAACTTAAGAGTCCCCCTACTCCCGCCAATTCCTTCAAAGCATTCACGACCGCATGCTGCCCTCGGCATTCAAGTGCTGCCCGCTTTTTCCCGATTTGGGGATTGCGCCCCCAAAATCATGGAATGCCTCCAATAGGCCCATGTGCCGGATGGCGAAGTCATTTGTCCAGTGATCCTTGCAAGCGATCAGACGACACTCGATGGCACGATGCGGACCCGAATCTGGCCACTGTACATATCCACCGCAAACATTCCATGGCACCGGCGCTGGCACGCCGCTGGGAAAGTACTCCTTGGCATTTTGCCGGAACCAGACAAGCACATGCTGCCCATGCAGAAGGTCGAGCTGTTCCAGAAATCTCTTGCCATCGTTCTCCATGAGCTCCACCAAGCATCCAAAAAGTAACCGTCCCATTCCCCACCCCCTCTTCTTCCCATGTCCCCCACCATTTCTCCCTCTTCCTATCTCCCTCTTCCCCTAAGTCTCCCTCTCCCTACCCAACCACGAGCAATCTTCTCCAACATGATGTATCCCCACTGCCCGTTCCGCCCCACTCTCTATGCCCTGGCCCTCTACTTCCCCCCCCGTCCATGTCCTCTTTTCCCCCAACTCCCTTGCTCTCTATCGCCTGCTCTCACTATCTCGCAGACTCTCTATTTCTCCTCTGTGTCTATTCCCTCTCCCCCCTTCCCTTCTTTTCCCACTCCCCATGTTGCCATCACCCCATCCCGGTTCTCTGAATCTCCCCTACTCTCCATCACACGCTGTCCCTCAAAACCCCCCCCCCCCCCCCCCCCCCCCCGGGCTGTACCCTGTCCCCTTCTTCTCCCACAGCCACCATCCGAACCCTGTCCTTCCACCCTATCTCCCTCTCCATTTCCGCTTCTTTTACCTCTCCTACTTTTAATTTTACATGCCATCACACTACTCTGATTCCTCTCTGTTTCCTGCACTCTCTCTCTCTCTCTCTCTCTCTCTCTCTCTCTCTCTCTCTCTCTCTCTCTCTCTCTCTCTCTCTCTCTCTCTCTCTCTCTCTCTCTCTCTCTGTTACTCCATTCCTTGCCACTGCCTATGCTGCCCACTCACTCTCTCCTACTCTCCCCTCCCCACTACCCTCCATTTCACCTCCCCAATCTCCTCACTCGTTCTCGTCCCAGCCTCGCCTCACTTCATCACTCAGCCTCTTCCTATAACCTCCGTTCTGTCTGCCACCCATACTCCAGTCTATGGGGTCCATACAGGGGGCTGATTTCAGGCCGGGGGTTGTAGATAGAGCTGTGTTTTCCCTTCTCTGCATACCCATCCCATCCCCATCCACTTCGTCATACCCATCCCCTTCCACGCCCCTTAACGTCTGCACCTCGTTTCCTGTTCCACGCCCCTTATCTGAGGCCCCCCCTTGCACTTTCATGCATTCCGCACTTGTTCATTCCTCTCAACCTCCCCCCCCCCTTCCTCCCCCCTCCCCCCCACCCCCTCTCTCTCGTTCTCTTGCCCTCTTTAAATCCCTCTCTACTTTCCGCCCCTGCCCCTTCCTTGATTTATATCATAGCCCGGTCGATATGGTGGATCCTTGGGGCGTTTCGCACAAGGTGCGGCCACTGCTCTATGCATACATTGGTGACTACCCAGAGACATGCAGGGTATCCTGCACATTGTCCCTAAAGTCATCAAAGCCATGCTCCCTGTGCTACATATTGAGGAAGCGACTACGACAGATCGATACGAGAGGTGTCCATCTTCGGACTGTGGCCGGGCAGTCTAAACTTCTGCGCAGTGAGCATGAAGCACACCAGTACTCAACCATCCCCATTCTGGTGAGCCATAATGATGCGATGGCCTCCATAACAGCGCATGGCTCGGTGGGGCTGTGTCGAGTAAGTTAATACTATCACGACTATGCCTGCAACAGTTTTTAGCTAATACCCATACGCACGAGTCTCCTTTCAGCCTGCAGTGGTACTCGGTCCCATAGGACAGTGAGGTTTTTGCCCTACCCACTATGACCCCGCGCCTCAATGGTCGGATATTGTGGCTCGCACCTTCATTCCACCGATACAATCTTCCTATTCCCACTGCCCCTCCCATATTTTGACAGTCTGCCCTTTGGGACTTCAAGTTTTCAGAGGAGCCATGGGGTAACACCTATCTCTCTATGATGCCGGACATATTGCATGTGTTCTACCTTGGGGTTTGGAAGCATCTAGTGACTGTCCTGATTTCAGATAAGGATATTGCCAAGATTTATGAAGAGTAAGTGCATGGCATTACTGTGTAAGTCAAGCCACCTAGCTGGGACATTTTTCTGTGGCCTTGCCAAACTGGGTTCAACACTCACTTGGTTTACACATGCGGCCTGCAGGCAATATCTGAGGATGTATCCTGATGCACGCCTAGCTGGGCTTCCTGCCCCCATTCCTGGAAAATACTTCATATCGGGTGCGAGCTACACCAGCGCAGAGCATTCGGGCATGATGTCAGTACGTACTCTCCCCGTTGGTCCCACTTCTCATGTGCTCGAACCATACATAATATCATCCTTTCCGCCCTCTTTCTTTTCACAATCAGGTTATCACTTTCATAGTTGAGGGGAAGCTTGCTCCAGCACGCCACAAAGCCCTCAACTATGTCCTTGGGTGGCATCAGACCTACATTCAAGCTAGCAGCCACAGTGAAGCCAGCCTTGCCCAAATGCAAGCAGACTTGCATGAGTAAGTGCCGACCCATCCTTTATCCTGTCTTTTCATGACACGCTCTGCTCCAGCCCATTTCCCCCGCTGGCCATGTATCAATTTCTGATTGCACAGCGGTGCCGTGTCATTTCTTAGGTCGGTGTGAACGCCTGTTGCCCTTGTCAAAAGAGGGCTCTTCCCCTGCTAAATAGGCACTTTCCCCTTTCAGGCCCTGGTTGCTCACCAATGCCTTCAGCCCCAACCCCAGTTTTGCCCCTCTGCTTCTTTACCCATATAATCTAAATCCTCAGAAATGCACCTCACCTCAGCTTTTGTTAAATCTTAGCGTAAATAACAGTCCATGCCATAGGAGCTACCTCTGCCTTCTACCCACATGTGCCATTTCCTCGCCCTCATTCTTTTGCCCCACTCCATACCATTGCACAAGCCCACCCCTTTTCTCCATTTCAGCTGTTTTCCTCATTCCACTCACCAGGTCCACCCCATACCATTGCACAAGCCCACCCCGGTTCTCCATTTTTGCTGTTTTCCTCATTCCACTCACCAGGTCCGCTCCATACCATTGCACAAGCCCACCCCTTTTCTCCATTTCAGCTGGTTTCCTCATTCCACTCACCAGGTCCACCCCATACCATTGCACAAGCCCACCCCTTTTCTCCATTTCAGCTGTTTTCCTCATTCCACTCACCAGGTCCACTCCATACCATTGCACAAGCCCACCCCTTTTCTCCATTTCAGCTGTTTTCCTCATTCCACGCACCAGGTCCACCCCATACCATTGCACAAGCCCACCCCTTTTCTCCATTTCAGCTGTTTTCCTCATTCCACTCACCAGGTCCACCCCATACCATTGCACAAGCCCACCCCTTTTCTCCATTTCAGCTGTTTTCCTCATTCCACGCACCAGGTCCACCCCATACCATTGCACAAGCCCACCCCTTTTCTCCATTTCAGCTGGTTTCCTCATTCCACGCACCAGGTCCACCCCATACCATTGCACAAGCCCACCCCTTTTCTCCATTTCAGCTGTTTTCCTCATTCCACTCACCAGGTCCACTCCATACCATTGCACAAGCCCACCCCTTTTCTCCATTTCAGCTGTTTTCCTCATTCCACTCACCAGGTCCACCCCATACCATTGCACAAGCCCACCCCTGTTCTCCATTTTTGCTGTTTTCCTCATTCCACTCACCAGGTCCACTCCATACCATTGCACAAGCCCACCCCTTTTCTCCATTTCAGCTGTTTTCCTCATTCCAGTCATCAGCCCCTCCCCATTACCTGACACCAGTTCTTGCCTTTTTCCCCATATGGGCTGATTTCCTAATTCCGCTCACCGGTCTCACTCCCTGCCTCTTCACCTAGTTTACCCATATATTGAGTTTCCCTTATTCCTCTGATCAAGCCCACCCCATTCCATTGCACCAGCCAAAGCCTTGTACCCATATCTGATGTTTTCCACGTCCTCTTCTCCCCCCCCCCTCCTTCCGCATGGCACCAGCCTAGGCCTTTACATGTATAAGCTGACTTGCTATACCCTCTCCTTTAAATCCCATCCCATACCATGACCTTCCTCCAAGCCCGTGCCTGAACCCGTAACCCTGGCGTTTTCCATATTCGTTACATCATGTCTACACCCCCAATGGCACCAGGGTCGGCCATTTTTCCTTCCATAGTGACGTACGTAGATCTCTTGGATCTCCCCATCAACCTGGGCCACACCCTCTCCCCGTCCCCTAGATGGCATCTTCCCATATTGGCTGGTCTTACTTCCTCAGATTATTCCTACCCCATTGCCTGGTTCCTCTCATTAACACCCTTCCCTGCCTGAGCACATCTCTTATGCCCACATGTTGATATGACTATCACCACAAGTTCTCTTGCCTATGCAGCAACCCCCGCGCTTTCTTTCATACCCCCATATAGTGTGTGAGGAGGTCCATCCCACTTAGTGTCTCATACCTTCATCTCATGACGCGTGTCTCAATCCTTTGTTTGTATTGCGCAAATTAACACACTTTGGACACACAGGATGGTGCGTCTCCTAGAGATGGCGTTCCCACGGTCTGGCCATGGGTGGAACCTCATCAAGGTTCATTTACTCACGCATCTCCCTGATGCTATCCGACGCGGGGGCCTGCCACGAGAGTTCGCAGCCGCTGTTTTTGAAAATGCACACTCGCGGACTTGCAAGCAGCCATATCGGTCCTCAAACCATCGTCAATATGTGGACATCATTCTGAAGCACAATGTTACGCAAGACTTGCTGCACCACGTTAAGAGCTCGCTTCCTCAGCCACGCAAATACAACACCGCAGCTGCACGAGTAAGTTTCCATCCCGAGTTCACGAAACTGTTTCGATAGCCTATCGTTACTCTGCATCTAGACGGACTAGTCATGAGTCATAACGGACAGCCTCTACACCTCCATCGCTACAACTGTGGCCTGGTTCTCTGGGGTTGTTATTTCTTTACTCTTTCCAGGCGTTGGAGACGGGGACGCCAAAACTCACTGAGGATTCGGACTTAATGACGTATGGTGACGCTAACCCCGGATCTGGAAACGACCTCTATACCAGCTATGTCAAAGCCAATGGTGGGGACTTGGGGCCTTACGGTGAGACAATGAGGCGCGCCGGTTACCAGAGCTTCCCAACTGAGGTATGTATGAGTCCACATGTCCTAAGTCTCCCAGTCCTGCCCCCCGTACACATCACCATGATAGCTCTGCATCTTCTGCCTTGGATCATGAACCATTGGGCTTATTGTGCAGGTTCATAGGGCAGTTGCAATCCCGACCTCTGACATTGATGGCCAGCCTGCCTGCTGGTATGCAAGGGCAGCACTCAGGAACCAAAAGGAGCCTGCATTTTCATGTGTCAGCATTTCTAGTGCCAGAGGACAGCCCGTGTATGGCCAGCTCCTGCTTCTTTTGCGTGCAGAAAGGCTGGTAGGGTCTCAGGCAGGCCAGAAACGTGCAGTAGCATACGTGCAGACGTGGATCACTGGTGCTGTGGACGACATCACTGGCTGCAGTATTTTGCATCGACAGGGGGGCAGGAATGGGTACATGGTAGTACCCATTGAACGGCTAACCGGTGTGGTACACATCGTGAAGTCTTTCAAGCGTCAAGGAGTGTGGCTACTCAATCGTTGGGCTCACCTACGCCGGCCCCTAACAGGTAACAAAACCCTTACTCTGCCATGGTCTTTCACCATGCGGTCTGCATTCCGTGCCTATCTTTGTGTCCCACGCACCCGCGGTGTAGTTGATGAACGCATATGCACATGACGAACATTCATGTGGCTATTCTGTCTTTTAATTCTGATGCAACCCTCTGTGGTCCAGGTGATATGGTCATTGACCATGCACCATAGAGTTGCTTTGAGGGGAGTTACCAATGGTCACTGGGGCGGTTCTGCTCATGCCAGCCCTTGCTGGCCCTCCCTAGAGGAGGGAGAGGGGAGGAGGGATGCCCGTTATGCAACAGGTGAACGCACAACCCATTACATTCTTACGCGCCGCCGTATCCT